CCTGCAGCAGCAGCCTCTCATTGCCCACGACAGCAGCTTTGCCCCAGTCGATGGCCTCGGCGAAGGGCAGCTCCCAGCCATCACTCAGCAGCACGGGGATGCAGGCGGCCTGTGGTGGGACCCACACGGGCTGAGACAGAGCCCCCAGACCCCAGGGAGGGGGATCCCTATCCCCCTGCCCGCCCAGTACCTGCAGCGCCTCCAGGAATCGGAAGGAGCCCAAGCGCCTGCCCCGGGGCACGATGCAGAAGGTGGAGTTGTGCAGCAGCTCCTGGTAGTCAAACCTGGGATGGGAGATGGGGTGGGAGTCAGGAACACATCCCCACCCAGGAGCATCTCAGGGGTTCTTGCTGGCACCCAGCAAGGCCGAGTATCCCTCCAGGAGGGTGTGGGGCCAACCCAGGGTAGTGTTAGGATTGATCAGGGCTGATTTTGGCTCCAGATTGCCCCGGCTCTGCGGTGCCAGAGGAGCAGAGATACCCTGGGTGATGGAGGGATGTGTCCACATCCAGAAAGGGAACCTGTGGCAGAGCCAGGAACCAAATTTGGCTCGAAGTGAGGGGTCAGGACAGAACCCCGGTGCCTAGGCAGCACTTGGCTTTCCATGGTGTTACCCAGCTCCCTCTGTACGCCTGTCAAGAAACCAAAGCCAGCACCCGAACCCTCGAGCCCGAAACTGCGGCAACTCCTCTGCTGTGCCCAGACTTGCCGGGCAGGACCAGCCCCACTTGCCCTGGCACCGTTTTGGCGGGGGCAGAGGGCTGGCTCCCCGCAGGGGTGCAGCCAGCGTGCCCTCCCTCCCTGGGCCGGGCTCACGCCGTGGGGCTATGAAAGCCCCTTCTGTGCGTCCGGTGGGGAGAGGCGCGTCCGCTGCCGGGTCCCTGCGACCGCGCCGGAAAATCCAATATTGACTTTAGGTCGGGACAGACCCCGTTTGTTCCTGCCCGCAGGGAAGGAGGGACGGGGCAGTCGGGTCCTGGATGGGCCAGGGGGGACACGCACGGTCCAGCCTGGGGTGGGGGGGCTGTGAGGCCAAAGGGCTGCTTGAAATGTGGTGGTCCCCTGGGGGAAGGGTCTCCTCGTGGTGGGGACATGGGGCTGGTGCCAGCCTGGCATTGAGGACGTGTCCCT